AAAAGTTTTAAAAAAAAATTGGGGCTTATAGTTCTCTATGTATTTTATAATTTTACATATTAAATTAAAATTATGACTTGTAATCCTCTTCTATAGTTAATTTTTTTTATATATTTAATTGATATTAAGACTTGTAGTCATTTCTTTTGTTTTATTCTTATATATTTAATTGGAATTGGGCGTGTAGTCCTATACCCATTGGTCGTCAATTTGATTTGTTGATTTGAATAGTTTTATTGTTATAGGTTAAGTAATTTCTATAACTATATTTAGTTTGGTAAAATATTCATAGTTTTAGTTAGTTTTTATTATTTGTTAAAATTTACTTATGATTACTAAGTTTGTGACTGAACAAATTAATTTTTAAAAAATTAATTATACAATCAAGTGGATGACCAATGGATGAACGATTGTTTGATTACATATGTCAAAAAAAAATTTTTAGTGCCATTAATAATGAAATTACTATACATCGCTTTCAAATATGTGAAAACTCGTTGGGAACAATTGTAAATATTTAGAAGATGTTCGACAATTTGAATTTTCTCATTAATAGGCTCAATATATGATTGAGCCCAATTTATAGTGATTTTTTTTTTTTTGCTCTTTTTGTATATTACTCATGTATATAAGATGCACCTTTAATTAATGTTCTATTAATAAAATTATACTTTTGTGAATATTTAAAATTTTAACTATTGGCTCATAAGGGAAGATGGTTGGCTCCGCTCCTAAATGTCTAAAGATATGATTAACCACAGAAAGTGTTGATGAAATTTTTCCCTAACATATAAATTCATTTGAAATGTGTATGTTTCATTCCTTGTGGACAAATAAAACAATAGACAATGCTATTTTACCATTTTTAAGCAATAAGTATAATTGCTTCAAAAGAGAGAGGGTATGGACCTAATAATCATCAAAGCAACTAAGGAATAGCCCCAACTACCGAGCGGGGTGGTCCAGTAGGATATCAGTTAAATTTGTCACTTTAAGATTAAAAGTTTAAGTCTAAGAGTTGATATTATGATTAATAGTTGATCACTATGCTAACTTAACTAAGTTCGTTTTCGAGAGATAAAACAAATAAGATCAAAAACATCATCGTTCCACCAATAAAAATTTATTGGAGTGACCTTAACCACTTTTTTGCTTATTGAAAAAGAAAAACAACAACCGATGAATAGCCCCCAAGTTTAGGTCGATGCACATTAGTCATGTAATGATGGGGACATTCCCACATACATCACCCCACATCCCATGGGCCAAGGTCTATCTCCACAAGCAATAATTGTACCAAAAAATAGCATTTATAAAGTGATTGATACCTAATATTCGATGGTCGAGTGATCAAGCTTTTCTTTTCTTTTTTTTTAAATAAGAAATTTCAAGTTTAATATTTGTTATTTTCTTTAAGGGTCAGCAATCTTTATTTTTTAAAAGATATATCCTTAAACTAACGTGAACTACGACGGTCAATCTCAAAATTTAAGAAAATAATCAATACAAGACTTAAAAAAAAAAAAAAAAAAAAAAGAGGCAAGAATGATTGATATACCATGAAATGTCACTATAACCATCAATTTTCCATCTGCCTAATGTAATGGACTGCTTCCGCTCAGAGTGCGCAACAAGGACTTCACTACACGTCCCTGATTGTGCTGTGGTTCTAAACTTATAAGGACGATAGTTCGGATCCTATGCTCTAAATTTATCATAAAAAAGTTGTAGCTTAAATCTTAAAATTATAAAATGACTTAAAAATTGTAATTTTTTTTTGTTATAAATAAACTTAAAAATTTGTATCTCCATTCAAAAAAAATTAAAAATTTGATGGTACAATATTGTAATTTTTATGATCAATAATAATATTTTGTAATCAAAAGAATTACAATTTATACGCTAAAAATTTATAATTTTTGATACCATATCTCGCTCAATACCAAAATTGTCCTTATGGGAACAGATCTATTGCTGTATAGCAAGAGTGCTGTTATTCAAAATGATGACGTTTTACACATAAAACAATGTCATTTTATGTATAAAATGGCATCGTTTTGAGAGGTAACAACCCTGCAGTATAGCTTTTGTGATAAGTTTAGAATCGATTAGTTGATTATAAGGATTCGATCCTAAACAATCACAAAAGTTAATAATATTAGGATCAATCCTAAACTAAAAAAATATATAAATTATTTTCAAAAATTATAAAAAGGAAAAATATCAAATTATATTTTTCAGCGCTGCAGTAGTCTTCTGGTAAGCTTAATTATATGATAATGGCTTGTTCGGACACTTTATCTCTTCCGGAAGAAGATATTCAGGGACTTTGTATGTACGACATCTCACCTGCCCTCAATAACCTTATTCAGATTTTACAATTAATTTTGTGTTTGAATAATGAAAAATAAAAAATATCCAATTAGCTGGCACACATCTCTAGATTCCAAGAGAGTAAGTTCTATCAGGACTCAGGAGTTAAATGAGAATAAATATAGAGGTTGGCACAGTGAGTGATGACTGATGATCAATTGAGTGCGCCTTGTACTGTCCAGCTGGCACTGCGTCACCGAAGTGAAACAAATATCAAAAGCAATATAAAGTCATGCCCCACTCACCATTCTCCATTCCCAATCCTCAATCCCCTACTTTTGGCCTTTTTTTTAGCCTTTTTAAAATTCAGACAAAGATAAATGGTTTACGTCGAAATTAAGATATTTATAAATATTAAATTTTTTATAATTTGACCTCTAAAAATTATTAAAATTTAAATTTAAGATATTTAAATTTACTTTTAATTGTTTTTTGACTCCATATCCTCAAAGTTTAGAAATTTAGAAATATAATAATTGGGCCAAAAAACAGTTCTGAACTAGTGATAAAAAGTAACAATTCTATTTCCGTTTATTTGATAATTAATTTTTGATAAACTATTTTGTATGCACATTATTTCTCCGGAAAAATCAAATGTGACATTTGATGCAAAAATATCGAGCTACTTAATATGGCTGTCTCATTTGACTTTAAAATTTTTGTACCATATGTTTTGCAAATTGAGCCGACCACTAGATTTGGTCACCAACAGTGACATTTTCAGTCCTAATAATACTTGATTTAGATGTTGTTAGAGTTAAGGATGACAGTGGACTGAAAAAAAATGAGTATTTGTCAAAATCTATTCCATTTGAATCGAATATAGATTATACGTATTGTACGATGAATGTATACGAGGATACCTGTATAAATTCGTATGGAACTGAAGGTGGAGGTGGACTTACCCTTATCTCCGCCTTTGCCTTCGCCCCCGCCCCCGCTACCTGTTATATATAAATAAAAATACTCTAAACCCCTAACTAAACATATTTACTGTAACTATCAATCTACAAAATATGGTAATCAAACTAAAAAATAGCATTGTTATGTACTAATCTTATCAACTTTTTTCCTTGGTTATTATTTTTTCTATTTGTGCTTACTTATTGAAACTGTTCGGAGTTTGGATTGATCATACTCTAAAAACAGATAAGAGAGAGTAAGATAGTTTTGCATTTCATCGTGGATAGAAATATTGTGAATGAAGATTACTGAATTTCTCTGCTAGAGTGAACTAAAAAATGAGGAAAATTATTGAATTATCAAAATTTTAATTTTTCATCTTTTAATACTTTATGAATTGTAATAACAAAAATTATTTTAGGAAACTTTAAATGTAGTGCAATCGTTTTTTTAGTTCAATTTTATTTTTATTTTTATTTTTTTTTCCTTTCTCTTTTAGAGTTTTGTTTCTCTTTTTGTGGTCCAATGACACTTTAAATAAAATACTATACTGTTTTGACTTTTACATTTTATAATCTACATTATGTTGTGTTATACTATGTTAGAATGTTGTTGAATTATTTAAAATATTAAATTTATTTAGAATTTTGGATTATGCTGCTTGGGTTTGGGTTTGGATTTAGGCGGGTACGAGAGAAGCGGGTACGAGAGAAGGGGGGACGGAGATTATAAATTTACTCACGGACATGGATGATGATGAAAATTATATCCGTTAACGGGAATGGACGAAGTGAAAACCATGTTTAATTTATTCTTAGATTTTGAGGATAAAAATTAGGAAAATTTAATAATTTCACGGTTCAAACTATGCACGAGGTTTTATAAATCTCATTTTTTTATTTTTATTTTTAAAATTTAACGGTCAAAGGTGTTTGAATTAACATTTTTTTAGAAGAAAAATATTTTTATGGTAATTTTTTTTAAGCAAATATAATCTCTTTCAAAAATAAGTAAGTGCCTTTCTCAAAACTTCTCTCTTTTTATTTTATTGGAATAAATCTTCAGCGTTTTGTTTGCTTGTTGGTAGCAAGGTTTAAAATTTGGTTTTGATATTTTATTTCGATCATAAAGAAATAAAAATATAATAGAAATTAATAAAAAATTTAAGAATTTATTTACAAATATGCAAAAATATCTTAAAATATTTTAAAATATTCTATAATATTAATAGAGTATGTTGAAACCTCCCTAAACATCCCGAAAATTTTAAAATATTACAATTTTGGTTAAATCATTAATTTATTTTTTAAAAACAAAAACGTTTGAACTATTTACGCTATTCCAAAATGGAATTTTGATGGAGCTTTGTTTTTGTCTGATGAGAGAAAGAGATGGCTCTCTCTCCTCTTTTTAACTGCTACTGCCCAGAGACAACTGGGAGGTACAGTGACCCAGCTGTATATTCCACGTGTTCATCTTCTATTGGTGAATGCGCACTAACCCTTTCCCAACAGCGACTACTCGTACTGTGCTGCATCCCCCACAGACAACCAGCTTTGGCACAGCTAAGAAGAAATGCAAACGGCTATAATATTTTAATTTTCCACGCTAATCGAGAGAAAATCGTACGTGGACGCTGACGTGTACCGATTCAAATCTCGTGGCATGTGTGGCTTGTCAACTAAGCCAGACAAAGTTTGGCTATAAAAACCACTCCGGCTTGTATTGGCCTCTACATAGCATTTGCAGAGTAGAAGCTTCACTGAACTCCTCTCTCACCTCTATCTCTGTAGAAATCTCTGAGTCATGGGTTTTTCTCGTGGTGTTCGGTTGTCAAATGGGTGTGTGTTATTGGCTATCACTGTTGGTCTGGTTCTGTTTGTGGGTTCAGTTAGCTCATCTAAGTTTGATCAGCTGTTTCAGCCAAGATGGGCACAGGACCATTTTGCCTATGAGGGAGAGCTGCTGAAAATGAAGCTTGATAACTTTTCTGGTACTATTCCAATCCCTTTCTTCAATAAAACCATGAATTTATCAATTGGGTCTTCTGGGGTATATCTTATTTTTACATGGATACGTTGTTTCCAGGAGCTCATTGTTCCTCAGCTTCGTCTTGTTTTTTTTTTTTTTTATGTAGCTTTGTTACTAGTGTTTCTATTTTTATGAATTTAACAGACAATATTTGAAAATTTCAGGTGCTGGGTTTTCCTCCAAAAGCAAGTATATGTTTGGGAAGGTCACCATTCAGATCAAGCTTGTAGAGGGTGACTCTGCTGGAACTGTCACCGCTTTCTATGTAAGTTCTTTCATAATATTGTTTTCATGCTGGTTCTCATACGTTATGGATTTCAGATTGAAAAGTATATTCTTCTTGGAGTCATTCATTGAACTCATGTATACAATTGAGCTTCCTAGTATCAGAAAAATTAGAACTTCAGAATCATTGGATGATAGTTGCAGCTGGCTATTCCTGTCTATCTCGTGAATTTGATTAAAACCCTTTTTTCAAATTTATTGACTTGGTACCAACTATTATGTCCGTGAACTATACTTTCTTGTAGCAAAGATATTATTTTATTGGCTCCAAAGCCAATAATAATCTAATCTGTACCATGAAAGCACTTTCTTCATTCAACTATCTATATATCTACTGATGATGACTATATTTACTACACTAATGTGATGGTGATATAATAATTTTGGTTAATTTTACTCATTGGGCAGATGTCATCGGATGGTCCAAATCACAATGAGTTTGATTTTGAGTTTCTGGGCAACACAACTGGCGAGCCCTATCTGGTTCAGACCAATGTGTATGTCAATGGCGTGGGTAATAGGGAGCAGAGGTTGAACCTCTGGTTTGACCCCACAAAGGACTTTCATTACTATTCCATCCTCTGGAACCAGCGTCAAGTTGTGTAAGTTCTCTCTTTACAGCATATTACTCTCTCTCTCTCTCTTTCTCTCTCTCTGTATGTGTGTGTTAAAGTGGTGAAACGGGCCATGGTTTGAGCTGTGAGCAGCTTTAATCAGGGAGTCTGAAAAGTAAAAAGTACTGGCCAAATTGCAATGCAATTCATTTTGGATTAAGCTTTTTATGCTGCTGATATTTGAGAAGAAGCTATCATGTTCTTGGTGTCACGCTCAGCTTGGCAAGAGTCACGGGGCTCATTGTTACACTGGCTCAGAGAGAAACAGAGGGACTATTTGCCAATAGCATGATATACAATTGGATAGGGTGATTATAGAGTAATTGTGTGTTGTTTTCGGATTGTATCATTATAAGTGAATATACCGAGTATTAGGTCATTTTTAAACTTGATTTTTTCCTCTTCACATCCTAATTAAGCGAGTTTGTCTTGTCAGAATAAAATTAATCGTGTTTGAGATTGAAAGAGGACATGTATTTGGCATGTAGTATAGGTTTATTTTAAACCTTACAACTACATGTCCCACCAATATCTGCATTCGAATTTGTCACCTAATTGTCTTTTTTTGTGTTTTGTGATCAGTTTTCTAGTGGACGAGACACCAATACGTGTACATTCAAATTTGGAGCACAAGGGAATACCTTACCCTAAGGACCAAGCCATGGGAGTGTACAGCTCAATATGGAATGCTGATGACTGGGCCACACAGGGCGGAAGGGTCAAGACCGACTGGTCCCATTCACCATTCATTGCCACTTACACAGGATTTGACATCAACGCCTGCGAGTGCCTGGCTACGGTGGCCGCTGCTGAAAATGCGAGGCGGTGCAGCAGTGGGGGCGAGAAGCGATACTGGTGGGACAAGCCCACGTTGGCTGAGTTGAGTTTGCATCAGAGCCACCAACTGATATGGGTGAGGGCCAACCACATGGTGTACGATTACTGCACCGATACCGCTAGGTTTCCTGCCACTCCGGTTGAATGCCTTCACAGCCACCACTATTGAGGTTGTTAATTTGTTTGTTCTCATGGTTTGTGGGAAGGGGTTCAATCATTGTACAAATTGCAAAAAAATCTAGAGACATGAACTCCATGTTACATAATTTTGGTTTGGTTGCTTATTTGCCTAATGTAAGATATCTTGTTGGACAAATATTATTTCCTTTGTTTATTTTCTCTATGTTAAAATTTGGTGCAGTGGCAGAATACGAGTGTTGTTATTATTGCTGCGTAGAACCATAGAGTTCTTAAATTTGGTTACTTGTTTATTTTCTCTATTTTTTTAGACCATTTTCGTTTATATAAATCATGCAAATAGGAAGGCTCCAAATGTTATTAAAAAATTGACACAATTAGAATTGAGCCAATGTTAATGATTTTTCAGCCTTGTTTTTGTGTCCTACTTTTCAATTTATTTCTTAATTTGGTTTATGTTTTAAATAAAAAGATAAATTATACTTTGAGTTTCCTCGATTGTTCTTTGGAGTGTATAATTTTTTTTCACTTTCACCCAAATATATCAGCAATTTTTGTCCAAAAAAAAATGACAGATGCATGCAAAATAATCAAATGGTGTTTTGCAATAAAAGCTCAACTCATGGATGATATGAATATAATAATGATAAATTGGGAAATAAAAAAATTATTAGAAATTACCCAGATTCATTTAAAAATTGGTGTTTGTATTGGGGGGACCCATCCAGGATGATTGCATCCTCCTGCAAAACATGTGAAATATGTGCAGAAGTCATTTACTATATTATTAATTTAAATGGGTCCCAGTCCTGTGCTCTCTCTTACCCACTCACGGGCTGCTTCACGGGGACCATCAAAAGGAAAGAACCTGGAGTAATGGTGGACCATGGAGTTACATCGCTTGTGGGGTCAGTTTATTTGAGTTCCTTGTAGGGGAGGGGGATGAGCCAAGAACTGCTTTCCATTTTCATTGGCTGTGCTTTAATGGGTAGGTGGATTTCAGGACAGTGGTCCAAAACATGTGTCGGTGAGAAGTTGCGTCAATCAGTTCTGAATTACCACAAGTGAGGATAAACCAGACAGTAGAGAAATATTGGGGAAATGAAGTTGTCAATAATGTGTTTTTTAATGTCCAATAATCGCTTGCAAATGTTCATCGACTCAAGTGATAGGTCTCGTATAGAGTCTACAAATCAATATTTTTGAAATGAGGGTAAGATTATTTATATTTACATCTTGCAAATTTCGCTATAGACAAAAAGCTTGAAAATTGGGTACGATCTTTTTGGTGCTAAAGACGAATAACCAGTCGACCAACTTTTTTTGTGACTTTTGTTTGGGAGGGGGAGGTGGGGGGTGGAATCATCATGCTGAGCCTGATTTTAATGCAAGCTTAGCATTCCTTGTAAAGATAAGTAAGATAAAAGACTTGAGATCAAAGCCTGAAGGACATTGAATTCAAGGAGGGAAATAAATAAGCTGCCAATGCTAGTGTATTTTCAAATGAACAAATTCGACCAGAGACTTGGGGCAAGTAGTGTGACATTTATCTTTCAAGGTTAGGACAGGGGTCCATGGGGTTAAGTAAGAAATGAAAAGGATGACAATTTAACAGTCTTCAAATCAAACAAAAAGGAATCAAATCAAGGTGATTTGTACAGGCTTCAAGTTATCCTTTTGCACCGTTTCAACCAATCTATCACATGCATGTTTCCATTTGACTGTGTCATTTCTTATAATCACCTTTCAAGTACAGGAGACGATTCAAGATAAAAATTATAAAAGACTCTTTATGCACTCTTTAATATCAAATATTGAGTCTAGAATAGGATAATGAAATCGAGAACTTCATATAACACTTACCCCTTCCATATCTCTCTAATAACGATTGATGCGAGTCTTGTTTATTGGGTATATAGTCTAGAAAGCGATACAAGTCCCCGAATCATCTTATAATTATAAGAAAAAATGCACTAGAGTTATAATTCCAGTATAAACTAACTAATCATGAGGCATGTATTAAATGTTTTTTTGGTGGAGTACAACTATTCTTGCATCAGCTTCTTAAACAAAAACGCATTAAAGTTGTTAACCAAACCAATAGAACAGTAATGACAGAATCAAATCACAGTACAATATGCATAAAGTGAAACCAAATCAATTGAATACCAAGAAAATGCTCAACCAATCCTTAACTGGACCACAACTTTAATCAATGCCCACAAAGCATAATATGTATAGTTGTTATGAATATAAGTAAGGCTTTTTATTAAGAACTACTTAGAGCACTTGTCATTCTGGTATTTAATTAATTAGGGGGGGGGGGATCCTTTAGCATTGATTATCTATTTCCAGTAAAGCTCTTGCCTCTCTTTGGAAGATGGTAATTTACAGGTTTGATTACTTTATGCTTCTTTCTAATAATTAATATCATGGGATTCTCAACTTCTTTTCCCTAGTTTTTTTTTTATCAGAGTAAAAGGAGACGAGGGGATCGCATACCAGACGATACTTTTTTTCGAAAAGGCACAATTAAATAGACATGGATCGATGCGTATAATGAGTGGTTTATGCATCTAGGATATACATTGCAGCCAAGACTCCTTAGGGTGCATGGTTGGGATGATTTTCTGGTAACAATACCTTGATTCCTATGAATAAGCAAGGGTAATCAGTACAGTGATACTGCCCATAATGGTGGACCCTAATAATGTTAATGGTTCACAGAGGCTCCTTTTGGTTCAGCTCTTTTTAACTTCCCTCCAATCTCTTCCATCCAGGATGGGACAACCGACTACTTTTAAATTTGTGCTCACTGGCAACAATAATTGAATGCACAGCTCCCATGAATGAATGTGTGTGTGTGTGTGTGTGTGTGTGTGTGAGAGAGAGAGAGAGAGAGAGAGAGAGAGAGAGAGAGAGATGGGAAGGGTAGGAAGGAGATGGTTATCTTATTCAAGGGATGCACCTGGACCATATCAATGATGAATGGCAAAAAGAGGTGAAAGATTTCAATTGGGAATCAAATGGTACGCATGGGGGGGACCCCTAGCCTGTTTGAGTTTGGAGTAAATTGGTGAGAACAAACAGCTACGGAATGTTTAACCATTTGTATTACTAGCCCAATAACGAGTTTATTTATCCTACTTCAGCTGTGGAGTTTAAACTGGTACAAGAATTGTGGACCTAATAAAATATCTAAAACCTCCCTGCCAATGGAAAGCCAGCACGTCACCAAAATCACAGAGAGATAGAGTTCGGGATCAGAATGTTATCTGAATTGTGGGTACGCGATGGGACACTTTTTTAGATACACGATACGATAAATTAGGTTTAATTGGTATAGTATTTTGAATTGCAATTCGTTTTAGAACTTTTATCTAGATCGTTTTTACTACTGTACAACATTATTTTAGAGTGTACCAAAAGGAAGTCTTTTAGAGAACTTTGAATTCACTGGTTATTATAAAAAAATTCATTTGTGCTCTATTTTCTATTATCTAAAATAATATATAATTAAAAATTTATATACGTGTAGTTGATTAATATGTATTTTATATTATATTTGTACTACGTGTACAACTTAAGATCATACATTTTAGTGATTTAGATCGTAAACTCACTCCGTTTGAGATCGATGTATCCAAATTATGAATCTTCTAGAATATAGTAAATTCTCGTAACTATAGATCAGACTTTGCAGTTTGCACCATGACACCTTGGTATAGACGGTTTCTAGATTACATTATGGTACCGAAAATTTATCGTGCTCTCTTTCAAGACACCGGATAAGACAGACTTGGGCCTTGGCACTCTCCAAGCATCTTTGGTTTTAATGGACCTAAATTTTGGTTGTGCGTCCTTCTTCCCTGGAGGAGTGTAAACTGGTCTTTCCGATGGTGCATATCCAGCTTGAACCGAAGTGAAAAGAAGCACACCTTTGTTGTGTTACTTTGGTGAAAAAAAGGTAAAAGGTAAAAGGAAAAAGAAAAAGCAACCAAACAAATGTTTTGTCTCCAATTTGACATTTCAAAGCATCATTGAGCATAGCCTAGGCAATAGGGTGTTATAATTTTTTTTTCCAAAATTGAGTTTCATTAATTGATAATTAATTTTGGGGTTAATAACATTTTAATTCCTAGAGTATGCATTTTTATCAGTTTAGTCTTCAATGTATAAATTTTATCAATTTGGTCCATAAAGTATTCAATTCGTATAATTTTGGTCCTTACATAAACAGACGGAGATGAAGATTATATTGTTGTGTTTCTACGAGGAGATCGACTGTACTGACTCACACATGTATAATCTCACTTGATGTTCTAAATATCACACATGATTTATTGAATTCTTGCATAGTGGTGCACTGCCGGCCTCATCAAAACCCATTATTTGTTTGTTAAGTATTTATTGACATCCACATCACTTGAAATTTGAACAAAAACTTCACTTAGATGTGAGAGGTTTTGAAAGGTATGGGGAAGAGAGAAAGTATGAACACAAACAAATTAAACAGACCGACACCCACCTACTCTCCAATCTCCCTTGACTGGAATTAATCATTCACTCTTCTGTTTTCATGTCCCAGCACTTGGAGACTTTTAGTGTCGATAACTATTGAGTTATCAACCAAGATTTGACCAAATGATCACTTTGGTGAAAGGAATTTTGAGGGACAGCATGAGGTGGGGATATACAACCCTTTATAGAAGCATTAATCATTATTTACACATTGTCTCAACAAGTAAGATTTCACTTCAAGGGTAAAAAAAAAAAAGAGAGCAAAGAGGTGCAGTTGGGCACGAAAGGAGGTAAGGTATTAAAGTTTTCCATGTTTTTGGATCAAGATATTTTTGGGGTTGAGTTATAATAAAAAAAAAAAAATGGTTAATTAAAACCTAATTGTAGCCGTACCTTGGCATTGGAATCCTTAAATGTTCCGGTCCTACCATAGCATTAGAACCCCTTGTATGGCTATCGTTCAGTCTTGGTTCAGAAAATGCTTGAATTATAACCAGCAATGGTGTTACTTATAAGATAAACGACTACAAAAGTGTGTCTAGTTCATAAGGTTCTTGCCACTGTTTGGTTAATGACAAGGATTAAAATTGTGTATGGCAACGATTAAAATGGTCGAAACGTCATGCTGTGTCATAAATAAAGTTAAATGCGCATTACGGTACAACCAAGTTTACACACTGTTGTAATTCTGTATGTATTAAGTCATAATCGTTNCTGTGTATGGGAACGATTAAAATGGTCGAAACGTCATGCTGTGTCATAAATAAAGTTAAATGCGCACTACGGTATAACCAAGTTTACACACTGTTGTAATTCTGTATGTATTAAGTCATAATCGTTGCCTAAACACGAAAAATCAGTATTTGAGGGGGATGGGCTGCAGCTCCC